ATAACTTCTGTTATGAATTGGCGCTTATACAAATAAAATTGAATTGAATTGAATTGAATTGAATTGCTCAAACAATTTATAAAAATGAAATGCAAATGCCAGTGCTATTCCTGTCATTTGCATGCAAACTAAAAAAAATTACCAACCTAAGAGACCTCCTGAGATCTCTGAAAGGCAAGCTTTTTTTTTTTTGGCCAGTTCGTTTGTTAATTCAAGTAATGGAGTATTTCCAGCTGCTGAATGGCAGCGTTTCCATTTTCCAAACTAGTTTCTTCCACGATTACAAAACGCAATTCAAGGATGTGATTGGATTGTTGGATTTCAAATAAGTAGGGGGTGACAACAAACATAATGTTGCTAACAAATAATCTTTTGGCGGGGGGTAACTGTAATATTATTACTTAAATGTATTAGTAATTAGTTACACTACTAGTTTCCTAGGAAAGTAATAAGTAATATATGAGGCCGTTCAGCCCAACAAGATTGGGTGGACAAATTACAATAATAAACCAGAAAGGGTTTTTTATTTTTCAGTTCATAGAATGAATATGAGTGTTTTATTGAAACCTAAGAAAAAGTCATGTAATTTTATATCAGGGCCATATTCAGACGCTGCTTCTGCTTGAGGCTTGTTCTGTACCACAGCGGAGTCCGTCTGGTGCTGTAAAGAACTGTTTCAGAAAGGTTCCCCATAGCACAACGCTAAGGTTTTACATTTATTACACATTTATGATACTATAAAAATACCTTTTAATGAAGGTCTTTGCAGCACTATGTGTTAGAAATATTCTAAACTGAACCATGTTAAAGTGTCCTTTTCACTGTAAAGAAATCATTATATTTACATCAATGAATCTATTTCCTGACCTGCTTATCCTGATGTTTATTGACATCTGAGTATTTTCTTTATAGTTCTGTAACAGTCAAGAAGCAGCCTTTTGTATCTTAAAATTAAATGTAGAGCCAAGTCACTTCTATTGGATTTGTCTTCTTTTGCTAGGAGATAGAAACAGTTGATTTTCACTGTCGGTTTGTGTTCCAAACACGTTTGTTTAAAGCAAGTATAGGTAACGTTGAAGAAACTATCAAGAGACCACTATATTTAGAAAGTATCCAATTATTTATTATTATTAAGTATCTAATTACCTGTTTAACGGAAATAAAGCAACCATGGCTTCACTTTTCAGGGCCACTTCCCTCAGTTCTTACCATAGTTGAAATCCAAAAAGTGTTGAATGTGGTTTGAAGCTCTTGCTTCATCCAACTTCTTTCTGTTTGTAGCCCTTTCTACTTCTGCCTCCTCAATTTATGCCAGCTCTTGCAGGTATATGTGGAACTGTCTCGGTAGCTTTAGCATGCAGGCAGGTAGGCTTATTACATGCCGATGACCGCAACAGATACCAGATCTTTTAATCAGTTTTTTCAGAGCATTTGATTTATTGATTGCTGCAGGGGTGTAAAGAGAATTTAATTACACATAACAAAAAATGCTTCTGAAATACATTACCCACCCGAGCTTTAAGCCACAAATTTAGTTAAGCTTGATTGTTGGTGCAGCCACAAACTGCAGAACTTGTCCCCAAACTGACATGTAAGCTGACTCTAAGCTAATTAATTGTCACTGATAACTGAAGCCACCTCTTCAGATCGTCCCCCCATCCCTTGGTAGTAGAAGGCTTAGTCACGGTCACATAATCCGGTTTAAGGTGTGACAGCAGTGACCCAACGTCACACCCATAATTCATGAGGTGTCATGGGGCTATGAATAATATGGATAAACCAATCCAAGCATCCAGCAGTCACTTATCAAATCCGGTGGCTAACAAACTGTACTGCGTTGAGATACGCTTCCTGCTTAAGAATACAGGACAACATTTGGAGTGGTCACGAAGGAGAGGTGAGGACAAAGAGACAAGAAAGGAGAGATTTTTGGGTTGAGAAATACTCACCAATATGCAGTATATTTTTGAAGGGTTGAACCAATATTGATATTTTTGGATTAAAGCAGCTAATAGCTTATAATATTCATTTGTGCTTTAAGAATTTGAATGCCAATTTAGAAGCATGTCTCAAAGGGCTTTAAGCTGCGCTCTGTGTTTCCCTCTGAATTATATTTCGGTAGGAGTGGAAAATGCTTTGGAGGATTTGGACAGTTAAAGTTCCTTGCTCTGAAGCGCTGTTTAAGGAGCTTGGACAGCGTTCATATCCCCGCCTAGAGAGACAGAGAGTGAGGGGAGTCAGGGAGCTGGAGAGGGAGATAATTTATTAACTGAAACTACATACATGCCTTATTGGCTTGGAGGAAAAAAAAACCTAAATTAAGCAGGTACAAAGCTAAAAGGATATTTTAATTCAGCATAACACTGTAGCTTCAATAAAAGAGACCATCAGTTGGCAGTAAGAAGAGAGATGTGGAGGTCTATGTACACATTCTGCACTCAGTGAGAGTAAATAAGCAAAAGAAATATTTTGTGGTTTCCAACTGAACAGATTTAGAAAGAGGAAGACATTTTTGTTCTTCATAACAATATGATCAGAAACTGATCATTATACGTTGCATGAAGACAGGAGTTTTTACAGTTTTGTATTTGGTTGCATCGTAGTGTCTTGTAAGATTACAATCTCGGTTTAGTTGAGAAAGGATTGTGCTTCTGGTTACAGTCACCAGTCAAGTCAGTGTTGTTCCACCGTGCAGGATGATGTATGAGCAGAGTTTGTTTCTTTGCACCCTAACCCTATCCCTATTAAAGGCTAATATAAGCCCTGTGTACTGGCAAACAGATATTATGGTCTAACTGTAGGGCATAGACACAAATCACATATACATCATCCAATGACACTGAGCTGGTAATCCTTACGATGCTCCTTCCCTGTCTGTCTGTTCGTCTAGAGGTTTAACTTTGTGTCTCTGCCCACCGACGTCCTTGAGATCGAGGTGAAGGATAAGTTTGCCAAGAGTCGGCCAATCATCAAGCGCTTCCTGGGGAAGCTCTCCGTCCCAGTCCAAAGGCTGCTGGAAAAACATGCCATCGGGTAAAACACACACCATACACAGTGTAGTGGGACTGCTTTTATCAGTCCCAACATTACTCTTGTGTCTGTTCAGTTTCCCCACATACACAAGCCCACATGGACAGTGGATTAGATGAAGGATGTGGGTGGCTGTAGTCAGTTTAAATCGTATGCGACCATCTGATTTTAGCTGTGATATCATTAGCTATCTGTACAGCCAGCCTGCATTCCCTTTAGTGCAGGCTCTTATTTATCATATCAACTTCTGCCTTTTTGATTCTGACCATTTCCTTCTTGTCTTCCACCCTACACACTGTCTCTGTCTTTTGTCCGCAGTGATCGAGTAGTGAGTTACTCGCTGGGTCGCAGGTTGCCGACAGATCACGTCTGCGGCCAGCTGCAGTTCCGCTTTGAGCTGACCTCTTCCATTCACCCAGGTACATGAGGCATCAGGCCATTTAGCAGCGTGGACAGACACTTTATCAGTCCTGCTGTCTGCCCTTGGCATTAAAGAAGTCTTTATCTTTCGCTCAAGTTATTTGTTTCTCTATAGGAAACTCATGTTTATTCTGACCATTCAATATAAACAAGATAAGAAGCGGTAGCAGGTTTCTCATTTTTCATTTGGTTCAGGTTCTGCTACAGTGCCCAGCAGCCGGTGTTTTGAATTTATGGATTGTGCTTTCACATGAATGATCCACAATTGTAAATTACTAATTTGCCCCCAAAATCAAGAAATTGCACACACACATAGGGATGTCGCAATCTGAATTCAAAGATCGATTTTTTAGCTGATTGGTATCACATATATTGAGTACAAACCCAAGTCAGATTCTTTGTTTTGATAGGTACAACCTCAGCCTGCAGCCACAAAACAATCTGTAATGGCTGCAACGTAATCCTTGAGGGCAAAAGGGCCTGTCAAAGTACAGCCACTAAAAGTGCTTGTTTTTTTAAATTACTCAAAATTTTGGCCTAAAAAACCTTGATCAGGACATCCCTAGTTATCAACGATTATATAATATTTTTACAAGCAAAATTAGTACATCCAAGTATCACATCAAAAACGAAATGAATCTAAGCAACTCATTTGTTCGTGGCCCCAAACTCAAAACAGTCTGTCTACTCAATGTGAAGTTACTGAAGTAATTATTAATTCAAGAGGACAAATCTGTAGTTCATGCACATGGATTAGTAATTAATTATTGATATTCTTTTCTTAGATGATGAGGAGGTCTCTTTGGTTATAGAGGCAGCCTGTCCTGAGGGGGAAAATGCAGCAAATGGCAACCACGCTGCTGATGCGCCTGATGATGCGCCTGATGATGCGCCTGATGATGCACCTGATGATGACACACTAAGCGTGGGACCGGACATGCCTGACCTACCCCTGGATGCCCCCCCTGACCCCGAGACCTCTGCGCTACCGGCCTCCATGGCGGAAGCCTCCATGGCGGAAGCCTCCACGGTGGAAGGCCCCGCCCTGGAGGAGGTCCAACCTGCAGAGAAGGAGGAGGCTGAGGCAACGCCAGAGGCAGATCAAGGAACTGTGGTGGAGGAGGAGAGCACAGTGAGGGAGGAGCCCCCGTCGACAGAGCCCCGGGTGGAGCAGGAGGAGGCTGAACAGCAGGAGGGGAACAGTGGAACGGAGGGAGAGGAGGGAGGAAGGGAGGAGAGGCAGCAGGTGGAAGAAGAGGAGGAGCAGAGAGCAGAGTGTGCACCACAAGCTGAGGAGGAGGTGACAGTAGAAGAAAATGAGATTGGGGAGGAAACGCAGCCAAAGCCAGACTCTGACAATCCTGTATCAGCAAACAACGAGGTTGCTACTGTGGAGGCCCCCACGGAGGGAAACATCACATCCCAGGAGGCCCCTGTAGAGCCACCCGTGGGGGCCCCACAGGAGGTGACAGAGGGAGGAGAAAGAAGTTGCGTCCCCTGCACCTGCCAATCAATCTTCTCAAACTACAACTCCCACGCCCCCTTACGCCGCAAAAACCGCCCCTGCTCCCTTCCGGTGTCAGAGCTGGAAACAGTGATCGCTTCGGCCTGCGGTGAACCGGAGACACCCCGATCCCACTACATCCGGATCCACCACCTCCTCCACAGCCTGCCATCGGCCCAACACAGAGCTCCCAGCCAGGAGGACGAGGAGGAGACTGGGGAGGGAGAGAACACAACTATCACTCAAGATACCACATCCACATCACCAACACTTAAAACCTCCAAAGAGGAGGAGGGCCAAGAGGATGAGGAAGAGGAGGATACAACCCAGTCTCCCTCTCAGGTACCGCCAGATGAGGGCAGAGTAGCTAAAAATATTACTTAAGCTACTACATAAGTTTAAGTAAAAGCAGTGGAGGTTTGGCCAACTAGTGTTTGCAGTCAAATGCCTCACTTACTGCTCTTTTAAACAAAATATTTTTTCTGTGCATTCCTTCAGGTCCCAGAGTGTCCAGGCCCCTGCTGCCGTCGCTCCCTACCCCGCAGCCTCTCTATTGAACGCCTCTCGGAACTGAACCAGCTCCTGGAAGGTGAGGGAGTAGGAGGAGGACACTCAGTCAGGAGGATCTCCCCCTCCTGCCTGGAGAGCGAGGAGGGGGATTCCAGTAATGGAGGAGGTAGGAGACTTGGCGGGAGCACTCACAGGCCTCCAGGTGAGAACGAGTGCGAGTTTTGCGACACCTCCTGCTACAGCACCTCCTGCTACAGCACTTCCTGCTACAGCACGTCATGCTACAGCAACTCGGGCTACGAAGGGAGGAACCGCTTCTGCAGCCACACCCGCCTCTCCTCGGTGGACAGCAACAGACTCTCCGGCAGCACAGTGTTCTCCTCGCAGGATGAAGAAGAAGATGAGGAGAGCGCCTTTGAGTCGGTACCTGATTCCGGCCAGACCCCGGAGGGCCAGGAGGTGGGCGGGGCAGGAGGAGAGAGAAGGACGGGGAGGTGGAAGGAAGCCAGGAGAGGAGAGCACGGGGAGCCGGCTGTAGCGGGGCCCAGCGATAGGAACAGCTTCGGTGAGATAAAACATGAGTTTCTTATTGGTTGTCTGGAGTTAACACGCATTTGACTGCAACAGTTGGAGCTTCAGTTCTGCTTCTGCTATCTGCTATTTCTCTGTGGGTTTGATTCTTTGAGGTGGCACACTGCTTACACATCTTTAAAAGTAATCGACGCAAAATATAAAAGTGTACAAAAGTGAACTTGATTGGCAGGCAAATTATGAAGTTAAATGACAAAACTGATATGACAAATAGAAAAGAGAAAATTTCCTCCGTGTTTACTTGTCTTCTTGATAAATTCAGCAGTACCCTCAATAATGTCAGTACCTGATGATTTCTGTAGCTATTAAGTTACTGTCAGTTAATTTCAACACTTCCTGCACAGTTTCACATATAAAGTAAGCTAGCAGTGCAAAGGTCCCGCCCATTTTTGCTCCATGCTCCAATAACAGTTGAGCAATGTGCAATATGCTATGTGCTAGCTCGTCTTATGTTAGAAAAGAAAAGATTTTCACATTTTGAAGATAGTTAAAGGATTAAAGCAACATGTAGTATGTACATAGTCATATCTTAAAATAGCCATTTTTAGTGAAACGCTAGCTAACTGGCTAGCTAATCTAAATAAATTGTTACATCTGATAGCTGATGTGATTTACTAACTAACTAATTTACAATTAGTAATGATCGTTGATTTATCCACAGCGTTTATTTGAGAATGTACCATAAGTGACAGCCACAACCAAACTTTGTTTATTTTAGTAATGTGTGGGTGCTGTCAATCTGTGTAACACAGGCAGCAGAATTCTCCATTCAATTTATTAAATAATGACATTAATGAACAATGTATCAGGCAAATTCACTGTGAGAAGAGGGGTGGGGGTGCATCCCTCGTGCACACAAAGGTCATTAATTAATTGAGACCTAAAGCCATTAACATTTAACAGATAGATGAAGCCAGAAATGTTAGGTATTCCATGTGTGAAATGAGCTGAAGGAGGTAAGAAAATACTGATACATGATACATGTAATCATATATATCAAAGCTTTTGATACTGATTTAATTTACACACAAGAAAATAATTATGGAATGGCAGTAATATTTGTAGAGACGTTCCATTAAAATCTTCGTTAAATAAAAGTAAAATCTAAAAATTATTTTTTCTAATTTAAAAATTCCTTAAGTGCCCAAGTAAGCCACTCAGTTGCAGTAGAAACAACTGTGTAATTTGTTACTACTTCTGGTTTTAGCTGCTTCATATAGCCTGCAGTCAAATGAGACTGAATCTTTTATACTGTATTTGTACATTTTACATGATGACTGTTATAGACTGTGATGGAAAAGTAGGTCACACACACACACACACACACACACACACAGTCTTGCAGAAACAAAATGATATTCCCCTCCTCTGAAATGTAATCAGCACATTGCCAGACTCACTGCCAGGTTTATTCTTTCAAATGGTTTCCTTTTTCCCCTCCTGTTCCCATCAAAACACACCAGAACATACTCCATCTAAAGGTTTTTATGCCTCCACACTGGTGACAACCATAGCTGGAGGCATTATGTCTTCGGGGTTGTCTGTCCATCCGTTTGTCCCATTCTTGTCAACGTGATGTCTCAATTTAGCACAAACGTCCAATTGGACTTAAGGATGAACTGATTAGAATTTGGTGGTCAAAGGTCACTGTGACCTTTTGGCAATTAGTCAAGTCTTGACCATATTTCACATGTGGTGACACTTCTGACTCAAAGGTCAATGGTCACTGTGACCTCAAAATGACCTTGACAAAGATGTTTTAGGTCATATATCAATAATTGATGCAGTGATTATGAAAAAATGTCACACAGATGTTTAACAGTGAAGGGATGCAAACGTTTTTTATCCAAACGGTCATCTTCATAATGTCTTGGAAAAACACGTTTTTGGCCATTATTTAACACCATAACTTAGGAACAGAAGGGCAGATTGTGACCATATTTCACAGTTGGCTGGACTGGTGACTCAAAGGTCAAAGGTCACAGTGACCTCAAAATAATAATGTAATAATACATTTTATTTAATTTTTTTAGAGCGCTTTTCTGGGGAACTCAAAGACACCTCACATCGGTTAAAATAAATAATAAATAAAAAATATATATAAAATAATATATATATCAACAATACTCAACAATTAATCAAAGCAGTTCTGAAAAGGTGGGTTTTGATCAGGGATTTGAATGTGGACAGATCAGTACAGTCTCGAATGTGTTTGGGCAGGAGTATTTCAGAGGGAGAGGGCAGCTATGGAGAATGCCCTGTCGCCCCAGGAACAATGCTTGGTCCTCAGTGGTGGAGACAGAAGGTTGGCATCAGATGAGCCGAGGCTTCGGCAAGGAGTGTGGTGGTGGAGCTGGTCTGTGAGGGAGGGGGCCTGGTTGTGGAGGGCTTTGTGAGAAATGAGAGAATGAAATGGGCGATTCCAGATTTCACACACATGTTGACCAGGACGACACAATGAGTAAAAAATAAGTAGCATAGTACAGGCTTTTATCTAGCCATCTCATCCATTCTGCCTTTGAATTCCTGCATCAATCAGAATATGTAAGTGAGTAACTTTCACCTACAGCTCATAGAGAGGCTTTGCATCTAAAAATGCCAGGCACATCGTCACACTCTGTACGTTTGCACCTTTTTAGCCAATACATCTATGATAATCCTTCATTAATCTGTTTAAAAATGCATATTCACTGAAATTATATATATATACCATCAGTAAAGTAACAACTTCTGTTTATCCTTCTCGGCTCTGATTGGTTGTATTCCTTCAGGGCCGGTGGATTCTTGCAAATACCAT